CCCCAAAACCCCAAAACCCCAAAACCCCAAAACCCCAAAACCCCATTTTTGGGTTAAATATTTGAATTTGAAGAATTATTAAATATGAATACTGGTGATGATCAAGTTGAGAGTAGGGAGTGGGGTATATTGGATTGTTGGTTTGATAAGATGTGTTTTGAGTGATTTGGAGATAAGATGTTAATTTTTATAGAAAATTTTCCTCAGCAGCCGATTCATGTATTTAATGATCAGATAAATAATCTGAATGCATACAATCCCCCAAGTAGCCCTCAGAGGTATACAGTAGTTGAAGCGAAGTCGAAGGTTAGGAAATGGGCTTGGTATCTCAAGGTATTAGGCTGGGTTCTGATCATCTTCGGCATAATCTCAGCCATTGGTGAATTGGGATACATGGATGAACAATACAATCCTTACATTGACTTTGGGTCTTTGCCTATGAGACCAGAGCAGCTTGCGATATCTAAGCCCCTTAAATACACAGCTATTATTCTTGATTTTACTTGAGATGTTTTAACAGCTTTATTGGGATATTTCTGAGTCAAAACTTCCTTTGATCCAACAAGAAACAGAACTTGGAAATTATTCAAGAAAGGAGTCGTTATAATCATCATCAAATTTTTCTTAGCAACCTTTGCATTTTTGTTGCTTACATCAGGATATACTAAAGCTTATACAAAATGGGTAGAGGATAATAATCTTAATCATTCTTCGAGTCACAATGCATCATCAAGCTCAACTTCTTCTGATGATCAAGATAGTAATCAACAAGAAAAAGAAGAAATGAACCAATCATTTTCTGCGGGCTCTACGATATTTCTCTCACTCTTGTTCGCTTTCTGAGTTATGTGATGTTGAATGATTACATGCTCTTCTTGCACTCTTGGATTTTTGTATAAATTTTATAGTGATGCTAAAGAATATGATATCATTCACAATAGTTCTTTGTTGGACCATCCGAACGAACATCATTATGATATGAACCCTGTGCAACCTATTTCTCCTATCCGTCCTGTCTATAATCAGACTATCCAAGGAACTTCTCAGAACATTGCCACAAGAAGAACGATAAGTCCAAATGAAGCCACACAGCATCATAATAAGGTTTAATCTTGAATTCAAAAAGGTCTAAACTCTCTTAAATCAATTAATCAAATTAATTCTGATAAAATTCCTTATCTCAATCATCCCCATAAATCTCGGGGTTTTGGGGTTTTGGGGTTTTGGGGTTTTGGGG